TATATATATATATACGCAAAACCTTTTATTAAGACCCCAACAATTATGCATATCTTTACTTTCATAATCAACTCACTATCCTTAATCTCATCAAGATGAAAGTTGCAGTCTTGTTTGTGAACACGTTTCTACCCTTGGGCCCATAGTTACAAAATACACAAACACACCCCTCCATCTGCAAATGCAGATACAGGTCAAATTCACATGCATATCTTCCATACTACAGAGAAAATCCACCCATACTTACCAACAACTAAAATCATGTTTGTCTCCTTGCCTTCTTCATCTATATTTTGGTTTAAAAATGCCAGGACATCATCCTTCTGAGCAATAATTTTGAAAATGTTTTTTCCGGCATCTACAATTGAAAAAGCATTTTTAAAACTCACAATAGTTAACTTTTTCCCATTGAGTTGACATGATTTTTTCGTAACATGTTAGTGTTAATTCCTCTTTCAAAAATTCTCTATTTTCTAAACTTTCCCCAACATGTTAGAATCAGGTGCTAGAGGTAGTGTTAGAAGGACCTGCTTCACATCCTACCACCTAAATAGTAGCAATTTTGTCAATCCTAGCAGATCATATGTTGTTTTACCATGACAAGGTAAATGGTAGGTGAAAGAAACCTCCCCTTACTAACCAGTGAATCAGTCAATCAATAAAGTGTCAGAAATTTTATCCCTTGCCCTTTAAGCCCAGCGAATATTTTGCTGTAATTCCACGAGTATAAATTGAAATGTAACATATTAATATATGCTCAAAAAGCACCACTTTCATCGCAGTAGATAATAAAGTAAAGAGATGCCCATTAGATTATTGAAAAATGTTGGATGTAGTTTGTGTCATTGGAGTTTACTTCCTTTCTGCTGGTATATCATCACATTTGTACAAGTTCAAACATTTTTTAGTCCAAGATGAGAGAAATATAGTGTACATTGCTTTCCATGTAAAAACTACTCACTGTTAATTTTATACCCAGGACTACTTTTTGGAAGTTATTTTAATTCAGAGACATAGAAGTTGATATCCTTTCTCTCACTATTTTAACTGAAGTGCAAATGATCTGCAACTCCCTTTGCACATTTTCCCTGTCATCTTCATTCTTAAGATTTGGGGTTTATGTGATTTCATTGTACCTTAAACCTGGATTATTTATTAGGCAATATTTTACACATAAATAAATTTATTCAATGAAAGGAAAGTGTGGACATACTTTCTAATGGCATAATACCTATTTTGAAAAAGTTTCATCATTTGATTTAGGTTTATTCAGATCTTCTCCCCTGAAGAGCATACAAAATACAGGGGGAATCAAAATTATAGTGAATGTTCAAGTTTTTTAGAAATTATTGAGGTAAAAATCTCATTGTTCTGAATCCCCCTGCGAAGGCTCCCCTTCGCTTGGACACACTCATCCCATTGTTCTTGCCAATTTCTGAAGCAGATCTGGAGTTTTCTTTCCTCGTCCTCCTTAAACGTTTTGGTCAAAAATGTGTTGACTGCTGGCACGAAGGATGGGATTAGTGTGTCTGAACTGAGGGCAGGATTTTGAGGGGGACTCACAGCAATATATCTGCTTAGGTGAAGGACTTTTAAAACTGAACATACCACATTTGCCCATCACACCTCACACACTTTCTGTGAACCTCCCACCCTTGCCATGGATCCAGATATCCCACGCATGTATTCAGGTGACATGGAATGGATTCTAGGTTGTAATGAATTCTTAGAAGTTTCTATAGCTTTTGCAAAGTTGCTCTAGGATTTAGTACCACAAAGTGTTCTGGAGTCCCAGCTTCAGATCAGTGGGACCAAGCTGTAGCAGGAGTTTGCCTGCACCGCGGGGCTGGAGCCATGGGGTCATCCTACTGCCTCAAGTACTCACATTCCGCGACGTAAACGCCTTTCTCTTCATCTAGTACTGCCACCCTGTTGAACTCTCGGCATTGTCCGTTCGCTCTGAAAGACAGATCCACAAAACACAGCTTATTCAACACCCTCCACGTCCACCTCCTGAGGAATTATGGGACTTGTACGACAACAGGGGTGCTGATACTAAAATAATGTGTCATGTTCCACTTACATAATGTCTCTGTTGTAACAGAGCTTCACTATTCGAACATAGGTTTGGCCAATTCTGGTGGGTGTGGGCTGTCGGGTTAGATAAACCTTAGTGTCCAAACTGCTTTTCCTGGGCTGTGCGAATTTCCTACCACCAACAGTGTCCCATATCCCTTACATTCCCTTAACTGTCACCCCAACTGCTTCAGGCAGAGAGGTCTGCAAACCTCGACATGTACCTTCTGGGAGCGTGCGGGTGTACACAATCTCCCATCACAGGGAGGACTGCGGTTGTATTTCACATGAATCTGTGTCACTATTTAAGAAGAGATTCCCGGGGCTGGGGATTTAGCTCAGTGGCAAACGCGCCTGCCTGGCAAGTGCTAGGTCGTGAGTTCGGTTCCTGGTACCGGAGAAAAACCAAAAAAATAAATAAATAAATAAAAATAAAAATAAAAAATAAAAAGAGTTTTCCACACTTTTTCAGTACGTGAGCTGTAGTCACTGGGCCTGCTGCAAATATTGGGGCTGAAGTCCTTATGCACCAAGGTACTTGTCAATTTCTGCTAATTCAGGGGAGAATCAATCAATATGATTTCAAGAGTGATAGATCATAATGGTGGTAGAAGCATATAGACATATATACCCCATCCAGCCATTCAACCATCCATTGTGTTGCTATGTCAATATGCTCCTACCACTGTCATGATCTATATCTCCTATGGTATCGAGATCTGGGGAACACGATGTCATGCTGATATCTCAAAACTAGAGCTCCCATTTGACTGTCATATTGGACACTTTCACATTAGACCACAGACCACATGGCAGTAGTTGGATGGATGGGTCCTTTAGATTGGATAAGATTTGCTTACTTGGCATAAAACCTGCCGGCGAGCTTCCTGCATTCTTCGTGGCATTGTAGTTGTCGGAAATACATCCTCATCGGGCCATCCTCATCGATCTTCTCGAAATTGTCAGCGGCCACGGAAATGGTGCGCCAGTCACCACTGACCTATACAGGAGAGATCACACCGGAAAATTTAGTGATTTCTTTATTCTTGCCTCCTTAAGACCCACTGGACACGCCATACATCACCTCCACAGAGAAATAGAAATCTGACCCTACCGCTTGCTTCTGATCCCTGAGAGGAAAATCATGTAAGGCCTCATAGTAATGATTCAGAATCACACAGAATGTAAGGTGTTTAGAGTTCCTACAGTAGGAACAGTTGTGCATTCAAACACCGTAAACGGGGGCTGGGCATTTAGCTCAGTAGCATAGTGCGTGCTCAGCAAGCGCAAGTTTGTGACTTTGATCCCTGGTACCGGAAAAAGAAAACCAAACAAACAAAAAAAGAAACCAAAACCAAACACACAAACCAATATTCCATAAACACTTAAAACCTTCACTTTAGTGTTTTAGGTTTTGCATACAGAGACTATTCTTTTTGCAAAGATAGAGATTTGGAAAATCATGATGTTCTCTCAGGAATACAGACATACATGGAAAAAGATGTTTAGAAAATCAGAAATCAGAATTAACTATGGACAGTAACGACAGGGGTACAAATACATAGGAACACACACACACACACACACACACACACACACACACACACAGAAGACTTCAGTGAAGACCAGCTTATCCGCGTTACCTCCGAAGGGTCGATATGGTCATGCGCAGAAACGAGACCGACCGCGAAAGCGAGCAGGAGAAGCTGCATCTTGTATGAGATGCTTTTCCTCTTCAGGAGAAGACCAGAGGAGGAGAGACGCTGAGGGGAGTCTGAGCTGACGCCTCTTTTATAGCACTGCTCCTCCGGGAGGATGCATAATGACCCACTTGTTCATCCCACAAGCTTCAGCCTTAACATTTCCAGGTTGGCAGTGGTGGACTTTATGTAATTTTCTATTCTTCTCCTAATGAGATTAGTGTGAGGAGAAGTTTAAGTTGGCCTGGACATGTGACCTTTCAGTATCTGAAAGAGAACAGAAATCATAGGAAATATTTCAAGGACATTTGTGTCATTTTCTCTTACATCCCAGTTACTAATACAGAAGATGAATCACAAAACACATATCCATAGCTCCTGTATGGCTCTTTCTAGCTAAAGGGGAGTGTACTTACACTCATTGTTGAAAATAAATATTTCACCCTTTGGTTTGGTCCAATGAGAAGACAGCATCTATGAATTGAATTGCCGGTACCTACACATCTCACAAGAGTCTGGTTAAATGTAAGTAATCACTGCAAGCTGTGCTTCATGGTTCATGCTGATAATAGCAGCCCTCTGAGGAGACTGAGGAAGGAGGATCACAGATTCAAGCCCAGCCTGGCCACTTGGTGACTGAGTGAGACCCAGACGTAAAATAAAAGATAACATGTGCTGGTGATAAAGCCTGGAGTTCAAATCTCAGTATGCCCAAAAGTAAATGAAATAGAAAGTAAAGCAAATTAAAGTAATAATCAAAGACAGTGGAAAAAAAAGTTGAAATTACCAATTGTTTTCTTATATCGATTATGAATCTCTATTCTGGTATTGACCACAATTTTTTTTTTTTTTTGCTACCCACTTAATTTATCCAGAACTACTCAAACTGGATTAGAAAAACCAAGAATAGTCATGATAAGAATAATTCACAGAGTTTGAAATTCATTTAAGGTGAAGGTCATGTAAATTGTAAAAAATATATATTAAACATGATGAAGAGTTGGAAGAATAGGGTTCAGTTATCAAATCAGCTGGATGTATTATTCCTCAGTACGTGACTTGACCTCACACGGCCGATGTCTGAACTGAGCACTGTGCTTCCCCGTATCTCACTGAGATATGAATAACTCAGAGGAAGTTTGCACACATTGAAAGGGAACAACTGCTAATTCCTGTGCAATGCAGGCAGTTTGAGCAAACAATGTTGTGAATGTCTAAGTTTTAAAGAAAAGTGAGAGTAAACCTCACATATCTGAGAACACCCCCGCTACTCCCAACCCTGCATTCAGGTAGGCTTGTGCCGTTGTTTTTACCAGTTTGTGAAGCAGTTCCTGAACTTGTATTTGTCTTTCTGAAATACGATCAAAATTAAAGTGAAATCTGCCGCCAAGCACCACTCAACAGAAAAGGAGGCCCACAACAAGCTGACGAAGTGTCTTCGTCCAACTTTGCTACTGGATCTGGCACCATATAACTGCTGGCATTTCCACTACATTAAAATGACCATGAAAGGTCGAGGATTTGTAGGAGTCAGTGACCTTGACACAGACATAAACCTTCATGCAAAGCCAGCTACGTGCAGCAAGGTTAGAGTGATCTGAGCAAGGGCATTGGAGTGTGTGTGTGTGTGCATGTGTTTGTGTGTGTGCACATTTCTTACTATTACTTGTCCAGATCCATTTGATATGAGAGTCGAAGTCCTTATTTGTCTGTGTTCATTAAACTATACATTTGTCCTTTGACTCTTTATAGTTTTTATTTGTCTCCAAATATAAAATCTAATGTAACAAAACATATCACGGAATATACACTGCACATGACAACAATCCAGAGCAACTCTCACTTTTCTGTTTTAGATGCAAATCTGTGTCAACATTACATTTTGTACTCTTCTGCCTGTTAGGCTAAAGAGTACAGTTTTGCTCAACCTGACTGGACTTTTTTCCCCCCTTTCTTCTTCCATGAATGTTGAGAAACAAAGATTTTAATAGTTAGATTTGTGGAAAACAGAGAAGATAACCACTGTCATTTCTGATGGGAATTTTTCTTTCTCAATGACAGGATGTTGACATGCTGTTGCCATGGCAGCTAACAGTGTACAGAAGATGAATGGGTGAATGAGACTGCCCTTCAGAAATTATGAAGTTCACCTTAGGACTTACAGCCACCTATACAATCTACTTCACATTGTTTACCAACTCCGGGACATTTTGTAAAAGCTATGTTTTTTAGCAAGCTTATGAAATCTACCTCAATGAAAGCAACAAAACTTTTTACCTCTAACCTGGGGTCTACTGTCAAATATGACTAAAAGATATTAGTGTTGTGAGAAAAGCTGAGGTTTTCATTGTTATCTGCAGACCCATGTTGTTGGGTGCGGCAGGACCTCAGTGTCACGTGGATGCACTGTGGAAGCCCCTGAAGGTTTTTTCTTGAGAGCTGGTAGCCGACCTCTTGTAGCTGAAATGTGGTAGCCATTGGAGTGTCACCAAAGCAGCAAGGAAATATCTTGAATCCTGTAATTTGAGCCCATCACTGTCTCATCTAAAATACCAGAGTTTTCACACATTTTTTACACTGCATACAAATGATTTAATTACATCAGAGGTTCCCGTCAATGGAAAGCTTTTCAAGAAGTGATTATTGACCTAAAACATGAATAAAACAGTGTTGTGTTTATTATGATCATGTTTCCAAACCAAGTTCGGACAACTCCAATGCAGAAATGGGGGTGAAAATCAGACTGCAGGCTTCTCAGGAAACTATAACAAAATGTTCCATCTGGCTTACCTCTTTTTTTGCAGGTATCTTCCTGAAAGAGTTAAAGTTGTCCCTTTACAGTGATGCATACCCATTGATTACAGGAGCGCAACTCATAAGCACAAAGAAGCCCATACATCAACAGGTGAAAGGATAAGAAAGTGTGCTGTTTACACACAGTGGAGCATTATTCTGCCCTGAAGAAGGGTAGGCTTCCATCACTTGTCAGAAAATGCATACAACTTGAAACAATAATGTTTGAATGACGTATATCTCAGGCGCACAAAGTTAAGTATCCCATGTTTTTTCTTACACACACACACACACATGCATACATGCACACACACATACACTATATATAAACAGCAACATCAAATATGGAAAATAGGATACAAAGAGTCACATGTTTTGCAAAAGGATAGAAAGAAGATATTGAAGGGGGAAGGAGTAGAGATCAATATATGAAGAAATTTGTGATGTGTTACTTACATAGATTAACGGAGTTTTGAAAGTAATTACTATATATCACAAAATTTACTAGTGAAAATTAAAATTGCTAGAAAATTAGAATTATGGGTTTTTATCTCATGTTGATGGCAATGAATAATTAAGTAAGAACCTGGAAACAATGATTCCACTCCCAATTATGTGATAAGGAGATGGGACATTTCAGTTCTTTAAAAGATGTCTACATGATTGTTCAGTCTTAATTAAAATAGTCTACATGAAGGAAAAATAGCCTCCATGAATATATAATTTTCCAGAAATATAATACATCCATGCAAAGCTGCTTATTCATAGATAGGTGTGAAGTGTGCCAATTGCAACATAAATGGATATCACAATAAACAGGGTGAATGAGCAACCTAGAAAGACAATTATACATACACCACAGTTTAAGCTTTATAAAATTCTTAAGTATACCAGCATTCTCATAGTGGTGCACAATTCAAAAATGGATTCCTTCTAATGAATAAAAGATAAAATGAAGCAAAATTATTTTGGAAATAAATGAGAAATTTTATGATATCAAATGGGAAAAAGTTCCCTTCTTCAATACATAACTGAAAATAATCAGTTAGTGACTTGTACATCATTTCTACCTCAGGATAAACAAAAATCACGTATCTTTTCAATACAGCATTGAAATGTGGATTTTAAATCACTGATATTTTTATTTGACTTCCATTTTTATGCTAGACTGTTACATTTGCTTATTTTATTTTATTCTGTAACCGGTATGTTCAGAGTATGACTATTAGAGTATGTTTTGATTGTTGGTATAAATTTTTGTAATTGGTTATCATAATTTGAATTGGCTTCAAATGAGGACTACAGAGGAATTTATTTTTTTGGTACCAGTAATGAAACTCAGGACCTTGCGCTTGCCGGGCAGGTGCTTATGCCATTGAGCTATAGTGCTGGCCTCTACAGAGCATTATTTTTAAAGAACAATGTAAGTATCAGCAACTAAAAGCAGGAGGAAATCTATATCTGAGCATGATGACAATTAATTCTGACAATGATGGATAAGACATATTTTTTAAAAAGCAGTATTGTTTGTGAAGTGGGAGAGATTTCTAAACAGATTGGAAGTAAAAGTGAGTCCTTACTGAAATCTGTTGTCAGATTTTAATATAGGCTCTTCTGAAGGTCATATTCATAATGATGATTTACCACACTGATACCCAAAGTCAAATATGATCAAAGCGGAGGGAACCATTTTTACACTTAGAAAGTAACTTTAAAGCTACTCTCTTAAGGTTTGGGAAAGAATATGAGTTCACAATGTGCATTTTGTCCTTCCCAAACCCACTTCAGGGTTCAGAACATGGGAGAAAATAAATATTCATGCCTTTTAAGCACTGAATGTAGACTGTTCTCTCTCACTGCATAAAATCAATTATCCACCTCGAATTAAACTTTACCTGTTACTAAGCTCATTAGGAGAACAAAACACGGTCAAATACAGCCCATCTCAGCCATGCAGGACGCATGGCTGCGCTCACAGTAATGGTATACTTCCTGAGGGAGTTTTGGATATTTGTATGAAGTTTACAAGATGAGGCAAATGTTTGCTAAATTTCACCAGAGAAGGGGTTTGTTGGCAAGACTATACATTCTTAAAAAGTCACAGAAGGGACTTTGAGGATCCAAGGCTAACGGTGGACACGATGGAAATCGGAGGGTTCGCTAGGTGGCCAAAATCCATAAAAAATATATGTGTTTTCCTAACTGACACCAGAAAAACTGAACTATGAACCAGTTAAGGAGGATAAATATGCTGCTGTGCTTTGAAGCTTGGATGTTAAGAAACAGTAAAATA